ATTTACCAATTTTACAGTGATTCTACAAAAGCCTTGAAGATAACGAAGGCATTTTTATTTAATTTAATGGGTTTCTAAATATTTATCTGCTTATCAAACAAAATATTAATTAGAATAGTGATTGACTAACCAGCTACCTCCCACTTCACTCCAGAAACTTTGTAAACATTGTAGAACTAGTAGAAAGTCACTTTCTGCTTTTTGAATTGCTAAAAAACTTTGCTGCAGGCTTCTAAAATTCTGTGTATTAAGGGAATCTATAGGAAGATAAAAATTGGTAAGATTTGCACTAGTTAATCTGATACTCTCACCTGTAGGTTAAGTTGGAGAAATTCTTCTTCAGCACCACAGCTGAAAGAAGTCTCCCTCGTAGTGTTATTTCTGAGTAGTTTATGCCTGCCTCATCTTAGAGTAAAATAAGGAACCTTTTGATGAAGTATGTTGGGTTTGAATGTCTCTTAACCTATTACTGCTTTGTGCCTTTGGCAGTATATCTTAGCTCTAAAATTCTATTTACTATTTTTTTAAAATCTCATATTGTGTCAGGGCGAGAAGTAGTTCAGTTTGTATTCAGAACTGTATCATTTGAGTACTTGTTATGTACCAGACATAGTACCAGATGCAGAGAGAAAACTGACATGAGAACAAATCCCTACCATTATGGAATCTAGGAAAGATAATTTTATACTGGGTCACAGGGAAGGCACACTGAGAAAGCGACTTTTGAATAAAGAACTGAGGTACAGGTGTGAGCCAAGTGGCGATCTAGGGAAGAACATTTGAAGAAACGAAGTTTCCTTTTTATCTTGGAAAATGACAAAACTTTCTACCTAAATTGGCAAATCTTAACCCTAGTATTGTGTGGACTGCAGCGTGGTGTCAGGGTGGAATTGGATCAAACGAGTACTGTGGCTATCACAGCAGCTTGTAAAACATATGTCTTACCTCCTCTATTATCTGTCTGCTATGCAGGTAAGTTATTTCATGGAGAAATTTCTTTCTTTCTGGCAGTACTCACAACTTACTCCTGTCTCAGTGCTCAGGGATTAATCCTGACAGCCTCTGGTGACCATACAGGGTACCGAGGATCTACCACATGCAAGGCAAGCACCCTACCTGCAATATTATCATTCCTACTAGGTACAGAGGGATTTCTAAGAGTTTTTACTGAATGATGAATACAAGTTGCAGGATTTTCTGTAAGACTTCATTTTTATAAAATAATGACACGTATGAATATGTATGTGTATTACATACTTGTATGTAATCATGGGAACTTTATAGAAATAAGGAATTTATCTGGGCTATAAAAGTGGTTGGAAATAGGGATAAAGTATTTCTTAAAAATGAAAGTTAATGGGGGTAGGGTGCCGCCAGCAGGTCAATCTTTACCTGTGAGGTGAGTGCATCAGCAGCCTGATGGCACCGTTAGACTTTCAGATACCCCAAAGTTGCTGCTGTACCTTTGGCCAGACCCCAAAAACTTGGGGCAAAGTTTTACCAAGAAAGTAAACGCCAAAAGTTAGGTATGTGGGAGACACATCCACAAACCACCTCCAGCTCAGCTATATAATTGGACGCATGGCCTCTCTGGTTCCTAATCGAACTGCTTAACGGCCATGATACCGGAGATTCAAACGAACCTCAGAAACCAAAGATTTTTGGCAGAAATGCGTCCTGTTCCTGCAGTAAGTTACTGGCGCTGGGCCACTCCAGGTGGGAATAGGTTTCATGCTTTGGCCTGTTCCCCTTGGCAGCCCCGTGACCGTCATCCTCCAGAGGCCACTGGACAGACTGGTTTGGGCCTGCAGTGACGAGATACACGGGGCCTCACCAGATGGGGGTGGAACTAGCCCTTTCCTTCCCATCCCAGTGAGACCCCGAGTCACCACCTACAAATGGCCTCTCTGGCTCCTAATCAAGCGATTAGTGGTCATGATCCCAGAGATTTAGAAACAAATCTCGAAACCCACTGGCTTTTGGCAGAAATGCATCTGGACCGCATACATGGCCATGGCTCCAGAGGCAAAAGGACTTAATCCAGAGCCTGGCAGCTTGTGACAGAAAAGTGAATGGACCATGCATTAAACTATGGCGCCATGCCTCCCCGGGAGGGAAAGGGTGTTGCTCCCTTCTATCTTTTTCCCCCCTGGCAACAAGGTGGCTGCTGCCTCAAAACTTATAGGAAAGCCAGGTAGGCGTTGACGGGGCAAATGGAGTCTCATGGGAAGGTGGGCAGTACCGGCTCATCCTACCAAGGTCACGAATTTCCCCCCACGAGCAGGTCTCAGGCACAACCATAACACCAGATGCACAGAAACCAATTTCGTAATTATCTGGCTCTTTGCAGAAATCCAGAATCGGACATTATATGATTCTCACAACCAGCTAGAGAAAACAAAGTATTTCACAATGCCCTTTTCAGCAATTCTGATTGTTGGTGGTGGTGGTGGTGGGGGGGGATTCTAGACAATAACGGTGCATCTTTTGTCGAAATAATGAATCTAATCAATGTAGAGAAGAGTTAAGTAGAAATCATCTGCATCACAGGCATTAGGAGGGGTGGGAGGGGGGTATATTGGGGTTCTTGGTGTTGAAAAATGAGTACTGGTGAAGGGAGAAGTGTTTGATCATTGTATGACCGAGACTTAAACCTGAAAGCTTAGTAATTTTTCCCACAGTGATTCAAAAAATAAATATAAAAAGAAAAATAAAACTATGAAAAAAAAACTAAGGTCAAGTTCATGCCCAATTCAATCAGCTAATCAGTGGCTGAATAAATAGCAGACTCCTACATTTAATTAAAAAATGAAAGTTAAGTGTAGAGAGGTCATTAAACTGGAAATGTGCTAGTTTTGGGCATCACTAGTGATTAGGCCTACTGTGGGTTAGGATTAGGGTAAGATTTGGGGCTATGGTTAGGGTTAAGGATGGTTAGGGGTTTGGTGGTAATTTTTTGTTGTGTTCCAGGATAAAAAGGGAAGTACAGTTCTAGCCAATTGTTAAGTTTGGACAGTGTCTGTTCCAGGGTCAGGCTTAGTATATAGATAGAATTAACCCTAGCAAGGAATAGGATTAGATTTCTGGAGGTTTTAGGTGGTATCTATTTCATTGTTCTTAAAAATGAAAGTTAAGTGTACAGAGATCATTGAATTTAGGATATTTGTTGGGTTTTGGCATCACTAGAAATTAGGTATAATATGGGTTAGGGTTAGAATTTGGCTAGACTTAGAGTTAAGGATGTATAAGCATTAAGTGTAAAGAGATTATCACATTTAGGATATTTTCTGCTTTTTTAAAATATCACTAGAGATCCATTTTACTATGGGTTAGAATTAAGGCTAGAATTACGATTTTTTGCTAAAAAAATTACTAAGGGTTAGTGTTAAGGCTAGAATTACAATTTTTTGCTAAAAAAATTAGAAATTGAGCTCCCATTTGACCCAGCAATACCACTCCTGGAAATATACTGCGGAGAGGCAAAAAAGTATAGTCAAAGTGACATCTGCAGTTGTCTGTTCATTGCAGCACTCTTTACAGTAGTCAGAATCTGGAAAAAACCTGAGTGCCCAAGAACAGATGACTGGTTAAAGAAATTTTGGTACATCTACACAATGGAGTACTATGTAGCTGTTAGAAAAGATGAAGTCATAAAATTTACATAAAAGTGGTACTACATGGAAAGTATCATGCTAAGTGAAATGAGTCAGAAAGAGAGGGACAGACATAGAAAGGTTGCATTCATCTGTGGAACATAAAGTAACAAAATAGAAGACTAACACCCAAGAATAGCTGAGATAAGTAGCAGGAGGTTTACTCCATGGCTTGGAGACCAGCCACACATGCTAGGGGAAAAGGCAGCTCAGATAGAGAAGGGAACACCAAATAAAGGGTGTTGGAAGGATCCTCCCAGGATGAGAGATGCATGCTGAAAGTAGACTGTAGACCGAACATGATTGCCACTCAGTGCCTCTTTTGCAAACCACAGGACCCAATAGGAGAGAGAGAACAAAAGGGAATGCCCTGCCACAGAGGCAGGGTGGGATGGGGGAAATGTGGGGGTATGTGGGGGTGGGAGGGGATACTGGGATATTTGGTGGTAGAGAATGGGTTCTGGTGGAGGGATGGGTACTTGATCATTGTATAACTGTAACCCAAGCACAAAAATTTGTAAGTCTATAACTGTATCTCATGGTGTTTCACTAATAAAAATTAAAAAAAAATAGGATTAGAACCTCTCAGTTGTTAGAGTTCGATTTCTGTAGGTTTTATGTGTTAACCTTTTTTGTGTGTTATTTCTTAAAAATAAAAGTTATGTGTATAGAGATAATTAAACTTTGGACATTTACTGCTATTTGGCATTATTAGAGATGAGGCCTGCTATGGGTAGGGTTTGATTAGAATTGGGGCTAGGGGTTTGGAATGTGGAGGGTTTTGTTGGAAAATAAATGAGGGGAAAATGTGGATTCAAGGAAGCAGAAAAGGCAAAAGGAAATTCACATCCCAGCAAGAAGACAGGATTTTGTTTCTGTTCTTGCATAAACATATATATGTTATTAAACTTATTGAAACACTTTAAGGAATTTGTTTTGTCTACCTGAATACTAGAAAAAAACAGGAAAAAATGAACCAGGTAAAGATTCCATATAAATTTCAGTGATGCCACTTCATTTTCTTCCCTTTTTTATTTGATAATATGAGTAATTTGCCTTAATTTTATTGAATTTTTGGTAACATGGGTATGTGTGTATATTTATGCATACACACTTATATGTAGTATGTGTACTAGATTTTGTAAAATGCCAGTAATAAAATGTATTAATTTTATTTTATGATATGGGCATGTTTTACAGGGAAAAAATTATCTTTTTTTCTTTTAACTGTCGAGAAAATACAGAATGAAGCTTGCATTTTTCGGCAGAGATGGAGCAGCTGGGTCTAAAATCTAAATACACATATTTCAAGATTATGACTAATTTTTTTTGACATTTCTTTTTCAGTGTGCGGGATGACAGAATTCGAGTAGAAAGGATGAATAACATGTATTTCGAGTACAGCCATGCGTTCCAGGCAGTTACAGAGTTTTATGCAAAAGAAGCAGTTGACCTTAAAGGTAAATATACATGTTAGCTGTAGGTCCTCAAATTGAAGTAGTTGAGATTTGACTAAAGGTACACGTTTGACATTTAACTTATTACAGGTAAAGAAGTTCTTGAGAAATAATTGGAAGAAGGAAAGAGTTCTTTGTTTTTATACTCACTAACAGTCATTCTGCATCCCTTTTGTGGTTATGAACCTTTAGGGATTTGATATTTTCATGTATTTATCAGTGTGGAGAGAGTTACTGACTAGCTTTTTGCTTCTTTTATAAGATCGTTCATTATTTTTCTTCTAATTTTCTAGAATACTTGCATAAACTCCCCCGATGAAGAAAGGCTAACATTTCACAAGGCTGATTGCCAAAATTAAATATGTCAAAGCATAAACGACAACATTTTAAAATGTTAGGTAACCATTATTCTTCTAATTCACACTGGTATTAGTGTCTGATTTGATCATTGCTCATAGGCCAGTTAATATTAAGTGGTGTGGTTTTCACCATTGGACAATATATTGATTGATCTCTCTTTGGCTCTGTCCCCACTTAGTGCTATTAATGTCCTATTATTAATATTAGTGCTATTAATGTCTTTCTCTCCTTATTTCTCTCAATCTTTCAGGGTCTTTACGAAGTTGAATGAAGTATTAGACAGTAGTCTGTGATACCACCAAGGGATTAGTTTCTTTTTTTAAATTTTTTTCCTTTTTGGGCCACACCCGGTGATGCACAGAGGTTACTCTTGGCTTTTGCACTCAGGAATTATTCCTGGCAGTGCTCGGGGGACCATATGGGATGCTGGGAATCGAACCCGGGTAGGCTGCACGCAACGCAAATGTCCTACCAGCTGTACTACCACTCCAGTCCCAGGGATTAGTTTCTTTTTTAGTTTCTTAAATGCTCAGTTAAGAGCAGAATCTAGTCATGAAACTACCAGAAGCCACTGTTGGACTCAGATTCATGTAGAATGATAAGAGACAGAAAGTCCAGTGTGTGATGGCAACACATTTCTCTTAAGAGTTGACCCCGCAGCATCTGCTACTGTCTGTAGAGCCCCTCGGCATCCCCTGACCCCTTCCTGTAGTCACAATGTGGCTGCCAAGAAGGGAGACTTTGATTGTGGGGTGCTCTTGCTCAGCAGTCCCTTTTAGGGTGCCTGGATTAACAGTCCCTGTAGTCCAGTAGGAGCTGATGTGTCTCATAGGAATCTCTACAAAGGACACACTGAGTTCAAAGAAAAGTCTACTCAGGAAACTGCAAATTTCTGGAATTAGGTATTACTTCTTCAGCTCAAATGTGATTTATTGACTTAAGACATTTTTACTACACACAGTGCTATTTCCTAATATTTTGGCATTTAATTTTTATCAGGTTTCCAGGGGAACAGAACAAAAAAAAGTTTACAAAATCAAACTTTCAATAGAATAGGAAAGTTTTTTTGATAACCCTTTTCTCTATCTCCTGGTTTTAGAAAAACTATTCCCCCCTGCCCACCACCACCACCACCACCACCACATTGATGTATAAAGGAAAAAATAAAATTCTTTCCCCTCAAACTTTCCCTCTGCTCTTACCTCTCTCTGTCTGAGGGGTAACCATTACAATTAGGGAAATTTTCCTAAGGTTTATTTAGTATCCAAATCTACACATACATCTAAACATGTATGTGCAATTGTTTGTTTAGAGAATATAGTGTGGGTTTTTTTTGAGGGGTTGGGGGTGTTTGTTACACAACTGGTTGTGTTTGGGGCCTGCTTCTGGCTCTCTGCTCAGCTTTCACTACTAGCTACTCATGAGGGACCAGTTGTAGTGCTGAATCAAACCTGGTCACGTGCTGGTCACATGCATGGCAAGCACCCTACCCTGGTCCTGGGTTTATTCTTCTCTGTCTCTCTGGTCCTGTCTCTAGATAGTATCCCAGGTACTATCTCTCTGGTCCTGGGTTTAATCTTTTTATCTATCTTTTAATGAAAACCTTTCAGATATGAAGCATTACATGAGACTAAAGAATAAAAGAAACTTCTGCCCTCTTGTAGTTTACACTCAAGTAGGATGTAAATTCAAGTAGGGGGAAGAATGATTAAATTAGTACATTTATCCTTTTTCAAAATATTTTTTGTTGCTGTTCTTTCGGTAGTGCAGTTAAAGGTGATTTTAATGCTGGGCCTGGGAGATAAAGGGCTAGAGTGAGTGTCAAGCAGACCCAAGGTCTCAGGTTTGATCTCAGTACCTTATAGTCTAATTGCTGCCATCAGGTATAGTCTTCATCACCTACAGAGTGGCTGGGAGGCCCTCCCTCCATTAAAATATAAAGTGAATGTGATAAAGGCTGTGTAGGAAATAAGGCAGGGAAGAAGGGGAACTTTCAATCGGGTGGTGAAGAAAGGATTCACTGAGAAAGTGACACAAACACGGACTGAAGGAGTTAAAGAGGAAATTTGGACAGGGGAAGAAACAGTCTTTCAGGCAGAGACAGCAATAATCCAGAGTATCTTAACTGCCTGGCAAGTTTTAGGAATGACAAGGAGCCTGTGTTGTGGAAAAAAAGGAACGTAAGGGCCAGAGAGGTAGTACAGTGAATGGAACTCAGTGGACGCGGCTGAGCCAGGTTTGATCCATGGCATCTTGTATAGTCCCCCCAAGCACTATCAGGAATGAGTCCTGAGCACCACTAGGTGTGGCCCCTGCCCCCCCAAAGAAAACAGTAATTTAAAGGGAGAATATTAGGAGGTGAGTTCTGAGATGCAGAGATGGAAAGCAAGCACAGAGAGCCTCAATAATCCTAGCTTCCTATTGTTGCCACTTTTTCTTTTATTTCTTTTTTTTTTTTTGCTTTGCCAGGGATTGGACTCAGGGCCTCACGCATGCGAGGCAAGTGCTGTACTGGTGAACTGTATTCCTGGTCTATCCTCATTTCTTAAACTCTGGGTCATAACCTTATGTGGGGTCAAATGAATGTGAGGACTGCCAAAAAATTGGCAGCTGTAAAGTTTTTAAACATGCAGTGCCAGAAATTCATTTAGAATCAACCATGTAATAAATCTTTAATGTTTCTGGCACTGCATGCCCATTTTGCATTCTCCGGTTAAAAGAGATTGTGAGTGGAGATGCTTCACCAGCCCTGTAGCAGGCCACTCTACTTGTCACAGTGAGTTGGGGATTTCTAAGCAAAGTTTAGTGGTCTGACGTACGTGTTAAAAAGATTCCTTTGGATGTTCTGTTGCAAATACCATTTAGGGTACAAGGATGATGCTGGAAGAACAGATGGAAAGATTTTGTAATATTCCTGGTGAGGGATAAGAATGATTTCACAAACTCCTCTCCCCCCTTACTTGGCAAATATTATCAATCATTTTCCATACCTCTAAGTTGTTTCTATTATAAGGTGTTTGACAACCCAGTTGCTAAATTGAATTTAGCTTTGATTATTGTGCATTAGTTTGTCCCTTTTGTTACTCATACAAAAGACTTTCAAACTCATTTTTTTGTGCTTACATCTTTATCATATAATTTGAGATACTTCTGGGTCAAAGGAGGTATTTATTTTTAGAAAAAGTTGCTTTATTGTTTTTCCGAAAAGGTTCATTATGCCATTCATATCCTTTGTTCCCATCCTAGGCTTTCTTATTCTCCTACTTTCTTCCAAAGGGTAATTTTTGTAGGCATTTTCTATATTGTTGTTTTAATAACCACAAAGTCAATTTTATTAATTTAAGATTGGTTTTTAATACTGGTGAATGTTGATGAAGGTGTATTTTTTGGCTTTAAGGTTCTCAGAGTTTTTCTGACATTGTTAACTTGGAGAAACCTGTGATTTGCTCTTTGGCTGCCATAATAAGATATCTCAAAGAATTTAACTTGGAGAAGATACTCTCTAAACCCAAGTAAGTGATTTCTCAAAAATCAATAAAGATGATTACATTAAAAACATTTCTTAAATTGAATTTAATTAAGTACTACACTCAGAAATATACCTGCTGTTGCTAGGGTCAAGCTTGAACTATTATTCATTCTTGTTGAACAAAGATGTTAAAGAATATTAAGAATAGTCATGAGGGGCCAGGAGGTTCGCTCTGCAGTTTGGAAGCCTGCCTCATAAGCTGGGAGAAAAGGCAGTTGGGATGGAGAAGGAACTGCTAAGTCAATGATGGTCGGAGATGTTCGCCACGCATGCAGCTCACCCAGGTTTGATCTCAGGCACTACATATAGTTCCCAGAACCCCACGAGGAGTAATCCCTGAATATAGAGCCAGGAGTCGCCCTGAGCACTGCCCGATGGCAGGACCCAAATCAACAATCCCTGCCTCCAAGAACAAAAGAATCTGCTTGAGTCCAGGAATGTAGCTCAGCAGTAGAGATGCCTTGCATGTGTGAGGCCCCGATTTTGATCCCCACTACTGTAAAAATTACTCTTAAATAAGGATTTAAAAATATTGATAGAATTCTTAAGAATTTGTTTTTGTGATACTTACTCTTTTATAGTTTTGACTATAAAACTGAGTTTTAAGATAATTTATAAATATAAGTTATAAAGTTTTAGAATAAATCAATAAGTATTTAGATGTGGAATTAAGTATTACGGGATGGGTATGGGCATGCCTAACATTTTTGAGGCTCTGAGCTCCATCTTCAGAACAGCATCAGCTTAAGGCTGTACTGATCAGCACTATTGGCTCATTATTGGTTTGTTCTCGAATGGTTCTAAAATTGAAGATAAGGAAATGGTTATAAAAGATAAATGGTTATAAAAGATAAAATTCCTTATAAAAAGATAAGGAATGGTTATAAAATTGAAGATAAGGAAAATTGATGCTAATGCAACAGCTTTCTGGTTTTTTTGGAGCCACACTTGATGACGGCCTCCTCCCAGCTCAGCTGTGCTTAGAGGTCACTTCCTGGCAGTGTTCAGGGAACCACGTGGTGCTGGGGATTGAACCCCAGGCCCTAACCTTCAGATCATGTGCTCAGCCCATTGAACTATCTCACTAATTCACAGGTAGTTTTTTTTTTTTTTCTTTTTGGGTCATACCGGGCGATGCTCAGGGGTTACTCCTGGCTTTGCACTCAGGAATCATTCCTGGCGGTGCTCGGGGGACCATATGGGATGCTGGGAATCAAATCTGGGTTGGCCGCGTGCAAGGCAAACACCCTACCCGCTGTGCTATTGCTCCCGCCCCGCAGGTAGCTTCTTAAAGGTGATTAACTTCATAAATATCAGAGATCTTTAGCTGGAGGTTGACACTCTAGTAAAATACTAATTTAAAAGTCAGTAGAAATTAAAAAGGTAATGGGATAATAATACCTTGACTTTCATATTCCACCCTTACCAACACATTGTTTTCATCTTGGAAAAATTGCTCTTTATTATATGGTTAAATATGAATTAAGAAGTGAGGGTTTTTGTTCTTTGATGGTTTTGGTTTGGTTTGGGGGGGCCATACCTAGCAAAACCCAGGGCTTACTCCTGGCTCAGTATTCAGGAATTACTCCTGGTGGTGCTTTGGGACCAGATGGGATATCAGGAATCAAACTTGGGTTAGCCGAGTGGGAGGCAAGTACCTGCTGTACTGTAGTTTTTTAAACACTTTTTTTTTGGTGTGTGGATGTATGTGTGTTTGTGTTCTGCTATTTGATATTTACTATAGAACAGAATATCATTTGGGGGAAAGTAGTGTTTTTAGAAGTAAAAAGAAGTTAAAAAAATTAGAAATAAAGGAGTCTGTCTGAAAACATTTATTTCTTCTTATGCATAGTTCAAAGTACCATTAATAATAAGCACTATGAAGTACTGTATTTGGAACTGGAGAGATAAATACAGCAGGTAGATGAGGTAGCAGTGATAGTGCAGTGGGTGGAGAGTTGGTCTTGCATGCGGCTGACCCAGGTTTGATCAACAGTATCTCATATGGTCCTCAAGCACTGCCAGGAGTAATTTCTGAGAGCAAAGTAATTCCTTAGTAACCCCTGAGCAGCACCAGGTATGGGCCCAAAACAAAAACAAAGAGTAAGACAGCAGGTAGGGCATTTGCCTTGCATGGAGCAGACCAGGCTTCAATCCTAGGAATCTCATGTAGTCCCCTGAGTACTGCCAGGGGTTATCACTGAAGATAGTCAGGAATAAGCCTTGAGTATAGCTGGTTGTGACCCAGAAACAGAAACAAACAAAAAAAGTGTAGAAAAGTTAAAATAATTATTTTTAAATAACCTGACTTAATAAATTGAATGAAGCCCAGCTTTTCTCATCTTGCATTTGGTGGTAGTGTTAGCAGAGAAGTGATTAAAGAAATGGTTCTGCTGGTGACTTAGTGTATATTTCATTGCCTGTGTGATCATCCCTTCCTCTTTGCTCTTAGAACCAAAGATAAAAGGATATAAAAAAACTCAGAGGTTTAACATTCACATTGTATATCATCTAGCATAGCTAAAATGCTAACCTCTTAGTAAATGTGAGTTTAATGGAAAAGAAACGATGAAGAAATTCTTCATCATGAGTGTAGGTTTCATTAGAAATTGCTAAAATGTCATTGGAAATCAAGATTAATTAATACAGATGGCGATTAAACCTGCTACATTTGTTTTGCTTAAAGATGAAATGTTAGTAATATTTTGTGGGTGACGTGATTTGATTCTGAAAATACTTTCAAAAAAATAATTTCACAGTTCTCACATTTTTTTTCTTTTTGGGTCACACCTGGAGATGCATAGGGGTTACTCCTAGCTCTGCACTCAGGAATTACCCCTGGCGGTGCTCAGGAGACTATATGGGATGCTGGGAATCAAACCCAGGTTGGCTGCGTGCAAGGCAAATACCAACCGGCTGTGCTATCGCTTCAGCCCCAGTTCTCACATTTTGAAACAGAATGTGGCCTCTCAAGGTGATTATTTGAAAACAAGAATGTTCTCTTTATGTATATAAAATTCATTTGTATTTTATTTTTTATTATTTTTAAAAAAAATTTTATTAGTGAGACACCATGAGGTTCATTTGTATTTTAAAGCTCCAAGGAAGGTACAGGTATATATTTTTTGTTTGTTCTGATTTGGGGCCACAGCTGGTGATGCGTAGGGCTTACTCCTGGCTCTGCACTTATGGTTCACTCCTAGACATATTCAGGGGACCATGTGGGGTACCAGGGATTGTACTTAGGTCAGCCCGGTGTGCAATGCAAGTGTTTTGTCTCCTATCTGCTGTCTCTCCAGAACATGCAGTGTTTTTTTGTTCCCCCTAAAAAAGAAAAAAGCAGTTGTAACATTGAATGATCCTTCTTCTGTGGCTGCCATCCTCCAGAGGCCACTGGACAGTGAGGTTTGGGCCCTCAGTGACGAGACACGAGGGTTCTGACGGGATGGGGGTGCAGCCCGTGCTTTCCTCCCCACCCAATGAGACCCTGAGTCGCCGCCCACGAATGGCCTCTCTGGCTCCTGATCAAGCTGCTTAATAGCCGTGATCCCAGAGACTCAGAAACAAATCTCGAAACCCAGCAGCTTTTGGCGGAAATCCCTCCAGATTTAATTGTGATATTTTCGAAATTCCAAAATTGGGAGGCCACTATTGTGGCCATGTGACACATATGTTATTTATAACCAGAAATAGAAAACAAATTGTCTACTGTTGCCTTTTCAGGAGATCTGAGTGTTGGGGTAAAATTCCAAATAATAGTGATTAGTCTGGTGTCAAAATAATTAATGTAATCAAAGTAGAGAGAGAATAATGTGGAAATCATCTGCCCCCCAGGTAGGGGGAGGGTGTGGGATGGAGGTTATAGTGGGGTTTTTGGTGGTGGAAATGGGCAGTGTTGAAGAGACAGGTGTTTCATTGTATGACCAAGACTTAAACCTGAAAGCTTTGTAACTGCTCTCGTGGTGATTCAATAAATAAAATTTTTAAAAATGTAAGAAAAAAAAGGTAAGGTTGAGTTCATGCCCAATTCAGTCAGCCTAAATCAATGGTTGAATAAATAGCAATACTCCTACATAAAAGAAAAAAAAAAGATCCTTCTCTTAGGTGGTTTCAAGCTACCGGGACACAGGCCCCTCCCACTTCCTTAATCTTCACTTCAGCTCTTCTGTTGTAGAGTTTGGTTCCATGATGACAGGCTGCTTCAGGAGCTTTCCCTTCCCCAGAACTTTTTAGAGCCTGATTGCACCACATCAATGCTGGGAGCTGCTCTAATCTTGTTTTGGGCAGCATTAACCCACTTTTCCAAAGTAACTTGGATGGTATTTGTCAAAGTTGATCCTATGGTGATGTACCCACCAGCGTTATCCAGACCTGGGTGCTTCTGGTCCTTGCCCATGCGACTGTGGCCGTGGCTGTGGCTCACATGGCCCCTAAGTTTTTGGATCTTCCTTAGTCTTGACAGCATGTTGACTGACAAGATAAAAGCTACAAATGGTTTTTTTTTTTAAGTTGCTACATGTTTCCAAAAATCCTGATATGCATTCATCTAGTGGTTTTTGTATCCTTAACAATTATTTTTTAGTTGATTGAGAAAATATACTATTTCAGGAATTTCTTAAAATAATATATATTTTAAAATTTTTGTTTTGTTTTGTTTTCTGGGTTGCACTAGACAGTGTTCAAGATCTTCTCTTGGCTCTGTGCTCATGAGTGACCCTTTGTAGTGTTTGGGGGACTGTCTGTGATGCCTGGAATCGAATCAAGGTCAGCTATATGCTGGGCAGGCACCTTAGCCCTTATATTATCTCTCTGGCCCTGGAGCATTTATTAAGTGAGAATTGATACCGCAGATTTCTAAGTTCCAAAATTTTTTGGAGTCATTAAGTAGGTTTATTCCAGAGCAAAAATAGCATATTAGAATACTTAAGATGTGGAGGATAATTACTTTTTATGACAGCATTATCCCGATTCCTAAATTTATAA